CAGAGCTGCCAGAAGAAGGGAACCGCTAAGGAACAAGGGTTGAATGGCCCCTCCCATAGGGAATAAAAGAGGAGCAAAAGGGGAGTGGGGTTTTGCAGGAGACAATTAGTTCATTTGAGTGAAGATCTGTTCCTGCATTCTTGCCAAGTATTGTCTGCTACAGTGTGGCATCTGAAAGATATCGGCCTGGCAACTCTCCAAGTCTGATAAAGGTCTGTAATTGTGAAATATCTTGAAAGACTGTTGGCCAGGACTTTGCTGGAGAGGAATTCACTGTAAACTAAATAAAAGAGGTTTATTGGGATGAGGAGTCGGCTTCGTGCTGTTGGGAAAGCCTAGGTCAAAACAAGGCCACCCATCCAGCTTTCATGGCTAAGGAGGAGCTAGAACTCACGGTCTCCTGGTGATGGGCCCAAAGTCACCCAGCTAGCTTTCATGGCTAAGGAAGGACTAGAACTCACGATCTCTTGGTTTCTAGCCTGGTGCCTTAACCACTAGACCAATTGGCTCTTATACCAACTTACAACTGAGATATGCATCTCTTATTTTCCTCTTCTGCTTCAAGCCCTGACTTACTACGACTCTTTAACTGGATTCTTTTATTTTAGGATGGGGAAGCCAAAGTTCCAAAGTGCAGATTCACCACAACACATGGCTACACTTCCCTGGGCACAACCTGCGATGGATTCTGACGTTCACTCTCCTTTTTGTCCACGTGTGCGAAATCTGCGAGGGCTTTGTTTCAGATTCGTAAGTGCTGCGGAAGGGGGACCCAAAACCCAGTTAATGGAGGGGCACAAATTAGCCATGAACTGCAAACCTTTCCCACAGGGCTATTTTACCCATTCAAAAGCACCTTCCAAAAATGCTTGGTCTTATATTTAATAGATTTAATAAATTCAAAGGCAGAAAGGCTCCATAGATGATATAGATCAGAGGTCGCCAACCTTTTGGACCTCAGGGACCACCAAACTCATAATTTTAAATCCCAGGGACCACTAACCGGTTCTGTGGGCATGGCCTAATTTGTGGTTGTGGCTTCATGGTCATGTGACTGGCTGGGCATGGCTTGTATATAAATATTATAAATATTTATATAAATATTGATTTTTTATAATAAAAAAAAGAGCAACTTTTACCCAAAATCAGGCAAAACAGGCAGGCAGATTGTGTTGCTCACAGAATCATTCAGTGATCTATCTATCTGCCATCGGCTAGCTCAGTCTGTCACGTAAAATTTGCTTGCTGTGAATCTGCACTGAATAATAGAACCTTGGCAAAGCAGAGCCTAAGATCTAAATACTATCTAGAAAGCAAGAAATCCAACCATTTCCTGCTTCCTAGCTAATCTAAATCTCCTGGCACAGCAAAGCAGCTGATGGTTGGAAAAATAGCAATTTAGCAGGCAAGTTTGCCGTGTAAGGAGTGAGTGGGCGGGGAGGGTTCCCGCGGGCCATGTGGGTGGCACAGCCTTGTGTTTCTGCACAGCCTGGATTAATTGCTTTGGGGGGGTGTGTGCTCTGGGGGTGAGATTTCTCTGTGGCCCACCAAAATTTTCTTGTGGCCCACCAGTTGGTGACCGCTGATATAGATAACACTTATGGGCAATACTTATGCCACCACTGGGTGGGGCCAGCCAGGAGTGGGATTTGGGGACTCTCTGAACTGCACAGAATCTTAGCTAGAAACCCCCAAACCCCTGAGAACCCACAGCGGCCCACCGTTGAATATAAGGGTTTGTTGCAAGCTCAAGTTCTCTATAAGCATCTGAAATACTTACGGTCGAAGCAAATTGGCAGTAAAATAAGAGTCAGTGGAATTCAAGGTGGGCTGGACTTAAATCTCTTGTGGGGGACTCGAAGGGACTCGAGACTGATGACGGATTTGATCCCTCCCTCAGCCTGGTCATATCCTACATCAGCCTTTCCTATTCAACTGGGAATTTTAAGAGCTGCGCCCCACCTATGCTCATTTGCCTCCCAGAATAGCCCCATGGTGAGATAAGCAGCCAATAAATTTAACAAACGAATAAATACAAATATCTGGATGGTTGAAATAAATTTAGCCATTGCTTTGGAGTGGCTGGGAATGATTAATAAGGAAGTTATACTTGTCCCTGTGTATGCAGCAAAAAAAAGTTCCCAGACTCACATTTTTGTCTTAATGTATGTATAAGTCTGAACAAGAAATGAAACTCTCAGCAGGGTTCTGCACAAATCAGAAGGCAAAATTCTCAATTTTCACAGCCTTCTTAAGTCAATTACTGTGTAAACCTGTTGTACAAACATTGAATCAAATAAGTGGAACTTCAATAGGTAGTCCTCAATTTTCAAGCAGTATTTTGGGCATACTGTAAGTTGATATGGATATACATTGAGTCACCAGTTACGACCATTTTTACTCCAAGTGTAAAACAAATCATCTGTCAACTAAAAAAAATATTCCTTTGGTCTTTTTAGTTGCCAGCATAAAGGGATTGGGGGAAAGCAGTGCATTCCTTAAATGCCTCAGATAATTGCCTTGGCAGCCCAAAGCTGTTGGTGCTGTTGGCACACAAGATTATTACTGGAGAGCATGATTGATGACTCTTGGCTATGGATGTGTCTCATTTGAGAATATACACTCAGGGGGTGGGGGGAAGACCAGGTTCAAGGGTGAAATGAATCATGTGTCAGAGTCGGCTGGCTGTCAGGGCTCCGACATGCACCCCCATTCAAATCACAAGTCTCTAGCCGCATCTCTCAGAGTAAAAAAGATTGATTTATTAAGTTGACATCATCACAATCATTAAGCGAATTTCATGGTTGTTAAATCATGATCACTTGACCACAGGATGCTGTAACAAGTTGTAAATGTGTGCTGGTTGCCAAACACTTGAGTTATGATCACATGATCTTCAAAGGTTATGCGACAGTTATATGTGTAAGGACAGGCCATAAAGCACCTTTCCAAGGTTGATATAGCATTAGAGCAATAGCACTTAGACTTATATACTGCTTCAATGTGCTTTACAGCCCTCTCTAAGCGGTTTACAGAGTCAGCCTATAGCCTCCAACAATCTGGGTCCTCATTTTACTCACCTCGGAAGGATGGAAGGCTGAGTCAACCTTGACCCTGAGTCAACTGGTCAGGACCGAACTGCCAAACTGCTGGCACCTGGCAGTCAGCAGAAGTAGCCTGCAGTACTGCATTTGAACCACTGCGCCACCACGGCTCTTAACTTTAAGTCATCGTTAAATGAATGGTCATTAGTCAAAGGCAACCTGTATGTCCTTGCAAAGGCAAACGTGGTCTGGAAAGCTTTCCCAAGAGGCCGGTTGGATGACCAATTAAAAACCATCAGTTTAACAAAGTGAGTCTAATGTATCCTAATCATGAGTTAGACTTACTTTGTTAAACTGATGGTTTTTATAAACCTAACTTAACCTAATCATGAAGGGGATGCGGTGGCTTGGTGGCTAAGACGCTGAACTTGTCGATCAGAAAGGTCGGCAGTTCGAATCCCTAGCACCACATAACGGAGTTATCCCTAGCACCACATAACGGAGCTCCTGTTACTTGTCCCAGCTTCTGCCAACCTAGCAGTTCGAAAGCACGTAAAAAATACAAGTAGAAAAATAGGGACCCCTTTGGTGGGAAGGTAACAAACAGCATTTCGTGCACCTTCGGCGTTTAGTCATGCTGGCCACATGACCACAGAGATGTCTTTGGACAGCGCTGGCTCTTCGGCTTTGTAACGGAGATGAGCACCGCCCCCTAGAGCCGGAAATGACTAGCACGTATGTGCAAGGGGAACCTTTTACTTTTACCTTTATCCTAATTGTAACTTTGCCTGTAGATCCTTCTGTGCTGCCAGAAGAAAGTAGGCCTCACATGACCCCGGGACACTGCAACCGTCATAAATATGAACCACTTGCCAAGAGTCTGAATTTGGATTATGTGACCATGGAGATGCTACAATGGTCATAAAGTGTGAAAAAATGATCATACACTTTTTTTCAGTGGTACTAAGTGAACTGTAGTATTGAGTCGAGGGCTACATGTACAGAGGTTAGTTTTGAATGGAATGCTGCTGAGTTTATAGCCCATTTCTTGAGCATCTCTGCAGTGAAATACAGCCCTGACTCTGACTTATTTAACTAACTAACCTTGTTTCCTTTACAGAAAATGGCCGACTCGCCATCTGCACCTCTTCCTGCCTGCTATAATGGGTTTTGTAGCAGCTATAACTTCCATAGTATATTACCACAATATTGAGACATCAAATTTTCCAAAATTACTCCTGGGTAAGTTCTTTCTTTTTAAAATATCTACATTTAAAAAATCCTGAAGTGATAATACCACTTTATAATGCCTTGGTAAGGCCACACTTGGAATGTTGCATCCAGTTTTGGTTGCCACGATGTAAAAAAGATGTTGAGACTCTAGAAAGAGTGCAGAGAAGAGCAACAAAGAGGATTAAGGGACTGGAGGCTAAAACATATGAAGAAGGGTTGCTGGAATTGGATATGTCTAGTCTTATGAATAAAAGGACTGGGGGAAGACATGATAGCAGTCTTCCAATATTTGAGGGGCTGCCACAAAGAAGAGGGAGTCAAGCTATTCTCCAGAGCACCTGAGGGCAGGACAAGAAGCAATGGATGGAAACGAATCAAGGAGAGAAGCAACACAGAACTAAATAGAAATTTCGTGAGAGTGAGAACAATTAATCAGTGGAACAACTTGCCTCCAGAAGCTGTGGGTGTTTTATCACTGAAGGTTTTTGAGAAGAGATTAGACAACCCCTTGAAATGGTATAGGGGGTTGGGCTAGAAGACCTCCAAGGTCCCTTCCACCTCTGTTAGTCTGTTAAACATTTGCTTCCTTGACATATTTGAGTGATTGAAAAGAATTATTGGCCCCTTTTCATGCTTAACTGGATCAGTGTGGAGCAGGACTGTCAAGCTCAAGGCCCATGGGCCGAATCTGGTCTGTGAGGTGCTTAGATCGGGTCCACCGGGCCACCCTGGAAACAGCAAAGGCCTGGCCCACGTTGCCTCTGCCAGTGAAAACGGATCTCAGGAGGGTTGCAGGAGGCTGTCACAGCCAAAAATGGAGCTCAGGAGCTGGCAGAGAGTTTGGACCACCACAGGTGCCCCCGACATGAGTGGCTTTGAACTGGCCATGTCCTCCTGCCCTCCCCCCCCCCAAAGGTCAAACACAGCCCTTATGCAGCCCTCAGTGAAATCGAGTTTCACACCCCTGGTGTGGAGGTTAGTGTACAGGTGGTCCTCAACTTACGACAGTTGGGACCAGAATCTCAGTCTTTGACCGAAGCAAGATGTCATGTGATTGCCCACATATGAATGCTTCACTCAACAACCACTATCCGATGTGAACCAAGATCTACAAGAGCTGCCAAACCCAACTATAAAATATAATCATGGAAGAGAAAAAATTGATTACAGTTAATATAAATGGACTTAACTCAGCTGTTAAAAGAAGGAAAACTTTTCATAAATTAGAGAAATTAAAATTTGATATAATTTGTCTACAAGAAGTACATATTAAAAAACAACATGAACAATTGTTGGTACAGCCAAAATTAGGGAAAATGTTTACTTCTCTGACCCAATGTAAGAAAAGAGGAGTGGTTTTATATATTAAAGAGATTACCCCAACAACCATTATCCTGACACTCCCCCCATTGTGGTCGTTAAGCAATCGCATGGGTTGTTAAGCAGATGATAATCCGGATAAGGAGTGTGGGGGTGCCTTAAGTGGGGGGGTGGTGGAGATTCTGGGAGGTTTTGGTCAGCAGCTGAAAATCTTTCCTGCTGAAATCCAAGCCGGATTTTCAGCCCCTGAGCAAAGAGACCCTTCCATCCTCCTTGCCCAAGCTTCCAAGAGCCCCCTCTACCGCCAACTCTGCCCAAGGCACCCTGCCCACCTTACCACATTGATTCTCTATTTTTGCTTGGATTTTAACTCCTACACCAGTGGTGGGATTCCAATTTTTTTACTACCAGTTCTGTGGGCGTGGCATGGTGTGGTGGGCGTGGCTTGGTGGGTGTGACAGGGGAAGGTTACTGCAAAATCCCATTCCCTCCCCACCCCACTAACCTGCTTTCCAGCTCCGTTCTCCTGTGCAGGGCAGCAGAAGAAGACCCAGCTGATCAGCCGGGGCTTGGGAGGCAGAGAAGAGACGGGGGCGGGGCCAGTCAAAGGTGGTATTTTCCAGTTCTCTGAACTACTCAAAATTTCCACTACCAGTTCTCCAGAACTGATTAGAACCCGCTGAATACTACCTCTGAACTACACTCACCCAAAGGCTCCCCTTGAGAGGCAACCTTTCGTCCTTAGACATGAGCCTTAGAGCCATCTTAGCAGATGGTTGCACCTTGCAAACCTCCCTGCTGGCTTTCCCAATGACTTTCTGGGGAAGCCAGCAGAAAACTTTGCAAATCATGGCCACATGATCACGAGTCACTTGGCAAGTGGTGCAAAGAACCCAGATCACAACCATGTGATTGTAGGGGCAGTGTTGCAACATTTTGCGAAGGGTGGAAATGCTCTATGGCTGTCAAGCCCCGTTAAACAGCAGCCTAATTAAGGAACTACCCAGAACACTCCCATCAACACTGGCAGGGCACGCCACTTGTGCATAGGGGAGAAAACCTCACTCCCCTTTAGCCCTGATAATATTACCTAGACAGGTAATAAAACGTCTGCAAGAAAACAGCCAACTTCAGGGAGCACCAAGGACCCCTCAGTCTAATTTTTCCCAATTCAAACTTCTTTGGATTATTATGGCATATTTAGTTGCTTGATTAAAAGAATAAATATTGCATGCATAAAATTGAGGGCTATGTATTTCTTTTGGTCTCTGCAGCTCTTTTTTTGTACTGGATCATGGCCTTTATCACCAAAACTATCAAGCTGGTCAGATATTGCCAAGAAGAGTTCTATTTTGGTCAGCTGCGTTTCTGCATCACTGGGACGATGGTGGTGCTTTATGGGTTGCTAATGGCTGTGGAGATCAACGTGATACGCATTCGGGTAAGAACATCTCAACTCAGGATGTGTTTTTCAATGTCATGTTGTGTTGTTAGTTGCGAAGTTGTGTCCGACCCATCACGACCCCATGGACAACGTTCCTCCAGGCCTTCCTGTCCTCTACTATCTTCTGGAGTCCATTTAAGCTCACGCTGACTGCTTCAGTGACTCCATCCAGCCACCTCATTCTCTGTCGTCCCGTTCTTCTTTTGCCTTCAATCTTTCCCAGCATTAAGCTCTCCTCCAGAGAGACCTTCCTTCTCATGAGGTGGCCAAAGTCTTTGAGTTTCATCTTCAGGATCTGGCCTTCTAAAGAGCAGTCAGGGTTGATCTCCTCTAGGACTGACCAGTTTGATCGCCTTGCAGTGCAAGGGACTCACAGGCGTCTTCTCCAGCACCAGAGTTCAAAGGCCTCAATTCAATATCATGTAGTGTTCCTCAACAAATCACTGGCAAATGAGGAAGGTTAATCCATCCCTTCCCACCCAGCATGCTTTAGATGTGTTTTGGCTATATGCCCATTGCTGGCTGGGAATTTTGGGTTTTGAAGTCTGGAGAATGCCTGGTTGAAGATGGCTGATTTATAGCCTTTGCTAAAAGCCAACTATTCTGTTTTTCAGATTTGGGGGCATTCATCTTAAAAAAAAAAACTAACTCAAAGAGAATAATTAGTGGTGCAATGGACAGGGTATCACAAACACACCCTTAATATCAGTTCCTTAGTATTTATTTTATTTGGACCTTCTGCTACTTTTTGACTCTTCTACTTACATGCTTACATGACCTTTTTAGACCAAAAATGCCATTTGCCTGGGCCTTAAGCTGCTCACTTAAAAAAAAAAATATTATATTGATTCAGGTGCCAAAATAACTTGGTTGTCTTTGGGTGCTGAGCACCTTTATTTGAGTAGATGTGGGTGCCACATTGATTCATTTATATTTATTCATTTTTATCACACATTTTTTTCACATTTTTATAAATAATTCAAGGGGGCAAGCATATCTAATACTCCCTCCTCCT